AAAAATTACGCTAACATTAGCCGTTCAGTAGTTATTCAAAATTCAAAATTTGGGGGCCCCCCTGCCCCCCCAGGGGGCTCAGATTTTTGGGGTCTATGTCTAAATCAAAAGTCTATAGGGTAGAGATGAATCCCTGAAATTTTCATGCTTTCTTCCAGAAGTGCACGATTGTTATGATATTTTCCACTTATCGGCCCCACTACAATCAGTTAATTCTCCCATCTCCAGTGAAATTTTGTGTCCGCGTCATTTTTGCCGCAATTCTAGCGAGGATTCCAAATTTTCGTAATTTTTTGAATCCTTTCAAATAGAGGCACTTGAAATGTACTAAATTTGTTTGTTGAAGAGGTACTGAATTTCTTGGGAATATACTGAAAAATCACTGATCTTTAGCCAGTATGTTTAATTAAACACCATTCAAAGGAAAGTGTATACTTTGCAATAATTGATCAAATCCTTCCGCGGTAAAAGTACTGCTAAAACGGCGAATGGTGTCGTAGGTATAGTTTAAGAACGACATTGAAGAAAAATGATTGAGTGGATCCTTTTAATTCCAACAACCTTCCTATCATTTTTTTGTTTCAGCTGAATTATAGCCCGACCAATCATGTCCGAATCCGATTCCTTACCAATTTTGCTCTTCATTGTCAGCGCTGAGGAGATCAAGGACACCGAAGACTCTTGCGCCTGTTCTGAAAGCAGTACTCAGTCCAAGCAACATTACGCTTTGGTGCCTGTTGACGCTCGGTCAGTCATCTTGCAAGAATTGAGGAAGCTCAATATCATAGTCCTTGAGGTATCCAGCTTATCGGATTCGTTCAAGGATAAAATCCTCCAGGGCACGGATGTCGAAGTTCTCAAAATCCTCCTAGCAGCTCAGCCGCGAACTGGCAATTGGAAAATATATACAGTTGAAGAAACCAAGTCTACTGTGTCCCGAATCTTTACCGGAGATAACAACACGCTCGCAATAATCGACGAAGCACAGCTCAGGAACCATAGTTTTCTATGGACGAAAGACGATGTAGCGTCAATGGTTTTTGACGTCGCCGTTTCTGTCAAAAATTGCACGCTTTTGCGGAAGCTTTTGGCGTTAGGCATCGACATAAATGCAGCACTAACTGTAAGTCAAAGATGCGATTGTAAGGGAGGAACACTACTACTCACAGCCGCAAGATTAGGGAACCACGATGCCATGGCGTTGCTTTTAAGCTATGGACCGGAATTGAATGTCAAGAACCCTCCTGGTCAATCCCCACTTTATGTTGCTGCGAAGGCGCAACAATGGAATGTAGCTGCCTTGCTGATCGTGGCTGTTGCTAGTGCAAATGCTCACAATGATGATCTTATATCCGTGCTGAGTATAGCTTCCTCGCATAATCAGCCAGAAATAGTGATGCTTTTGTTACAACATAGCGACTTTGACCCAAAGGATTTGGCATCGGTCATTGTTGAGGCTAGTGCATCGGGTCATAAGGAAGTAGTTGAGGTCCTTTGTCAGTTTGGAGCTCGAGGAGATATGAAAAACGAGTCTGGTAACACGGCATTGCACGAAGCAGCAAAAATGATAGATTGCGAGCTCCTTGAAATTCTCATTCGTAACAGTGATGACATAAACGTTCTGGATGAAGGCCAAACGCCTTTAGTTATTGCAATTGTAGCATATCTTTTACGTGGCATAATGTGTCTCGAACCCTTGTATCTTTCTGGAGTAGAAATTTGTCTTCGGGAAGCTGCATTCGAGGTCATCAAGCTGTTTCATGTACCCTTATGGTACTTGAACCCGCGTGACGCAAGATATCACGTGGAACCGTCAACTGAAGTCATTAAACTGTTGTTGGAACATGGAGCCAACCCGGATAAGGGGGCTCCAATTATCTCTTTAGTGAAGTTGGGACAAGCAGAAATTGTGACGCTTATTTGTAAATTTGGAGTTCGAGTAAACATTAAGGATGAGTCTGGTTGCACGGCTTCACACGCAGCCGACCGGGACAAGGGGACTCCAATAATTGCCTCTTTAGTGAAGTCGGGACAAGTAGAAACTGTGACGCTTCTTTGTAAATTTGGAGCTCGAGTAGACATTGAGGATGAGTCTGGTTGCACGGCTTTACACGCAGCCGTATTCTGGGGGAATACTGAGCTGCTTCCGATCTTAATGAGCCGTGTAAATTATTTGAAGGATGTCGCAACTTTATCCAAAGAAAGGACGTCTCTGGCAAACGCAGTGAATGATGAGCACCCGGGATCGATACCTGAATTCGTCAAGCTGATTTTGAAAAACGGGCCTGACCCGAAGAGTGGGGCTCCAATCATCTCGGCGGTGAAGATGCGAAATTTGGAAGCCGTGAAGCGTCTTTGTGCTTTCGGAGCACGAGGAGATGTGAAAGATGAGTCTGGTCTCACGGCTCTACATGTAGCCGCTAGGCTCGGAGACCTTGATATTCTTAAGATCCTAATCAGTAACAGCGATGACCTAAACGTTTTGGTAAAGAGAACAATCGAAGGCTCACCAAGTTATCATACACCATTATCAGAAGCAATCGAAAATAATTGTGCAGGGGAGGTTTTGAATAGTATCGTAAAACTGCTGCTAAATCATGGAGCCGATCCAAACATAGGGGCCCCAGTCGTCCACGCAGTGTACAATCGAAAGGAAGAAGTTGTAAGGCTTCTCTGTGCTTTTGGAGCTCGAGGAGATATAAAAGACTACTTTGGTATGACTGCTTTACACAAAGCAGTACAAGGCGGAGGATCCTTTGAACTGCTTAGGATCGTAATTAATAACAGTGATGACTTGAATGTAGTTACAGTGGACGGCAGGACGCCATTATGGTTTGCAGTTGCATTCGGGTTTGGCGGAGAAGCTTTAACTAGAGCTAAGCTGCTATTAGAAAAAGGAGTCGACGTGGACCTTGGGAATCCACTCTGCATAGCAATTACCCGCATGGAGACAGAAGTTGTGAAACTTCTTTGTATCTTTGGAGCCCGAGTGGATTTACCCGAAGATTTCTCAATGGAAACGTTTCTCCATGATCATGATCATGAATTGTGTAGTACCATTATGTGTCATAACTTTAATTTTTTCACGAATTTTTTACAATGGCTCATTTCTAAAGAGGATCTCGTTTGGTATATTAGTAATAAAAGTTTGAGCAAGATCTTAGAATATAACTTTAGAGATGTTATGCCTGCCGTTTGCTTGTCTTACAAAGGAGGTATAGTCAAAGGCAATGGAGTAATGACGGACTGTTTACTCCGTTTTTTAACTAAAATATATGTATTCGATTTGAAAACCAGTCAATCCGTTCCAGAAATTTTACAAAATGTTCTGCGCTCGTTTTTCGGAGGGTCGATCTCCCCCGCTGTCGAGGGAGATCTTTATGGACGTACTTATTCTGAAAAATATGACCTCCAACCATTAATAGAAATGTGCCTCGCGGAAGTACGCGCATTGAAAGATGTACACGTGGGTGCTAGTACGTGGACGCTTCATGATGTTTTGACTAAGAATGTCGAGCAACTGGCAAGACTTGCCAGGACCGATGACTTTCAGAAACCACTCGACCTCGAACTGGAATTTCCGCAGTACGGTAGGATTGTTGAGTATCAGCGGCAGAGAGGCTGCCAGAAAAGGCAGCTCCTTGACCAAGCCTTAACGGTTTCTGGCCGTATTTTTGGAGATTTACCAATCGAAGTCACCGAAAAAATCTTGGAAAAATTAAGTATCTTGGATTTGCCTGCGTTCGAGATAGCCTGTTCTTCTCTGTGATGTATCGCCCGTTGCGTTGATAATATCCCGCAATAGTCAAGGTTGCCACAGTCAGCGAAAACCGGGAAATGCAAGGGAATTTTAAGAGGTCAGGTAAAACCTGGAAATGGCAGGGAAAATGACGAAAATGTCAAAGAAAAATCGCTAAAAGTCGCCTTTATTTGCTTTTAGAGTGGATTTTACGTTTCAAACAACAAATGCCTAAAACCTATCTCTTATTATGTCTTCGTAGCCATTCGGCACATCTTCAATTTTCAGGGAATTTTACCAAAATTTATCAGCGAAAACAGGAAAATATCAGGGAATTTCTTTTTTTAGATTCGGTGACAACGCTGACTAGTCCGCGCATACTTCCCCTAAGATCTCTCACCTTGTTTTTACTTCGTTCGTGAAACAATATTATTCTTTTATTCAATTTTTTGTTGTTTAGTTTACCGTTGTATTAGTTTTTACCTCCTGCGGGCTGATTGTTGAAATCGATAGAAAAAACGATGGACAAAGAAGACGTGGGCAGTATGGAGCGATCCTTTTGGTTGAAATGGGTGGTCCCTGTACACGAAGGGAGAAAATAATGGAGTAACTATAGGGTCTCTCGTGGGTTGCCGTTAGTTTAGTCTATATGTATTACCTACCTCCTTTGTCCATTGCAACCGCCAAGTTCCACCGATAGGATCCTTCCACACCTATTCCTTTCGTCCTCCGTTTCTATCGTTTTGTCTACCGATTTCAGCAATCAGACCACTGTTACCTTTGAAGTTTAACCACACTGATGAAACGATTTTCGACGGATTCATCTTCAGTTGTGTGATGCACAACGAGAACTGGCCATCCAATCTTCAAATGAGTTATTCAATCGTCGACTTTAGCGACCGAATTTCCAATTCTTTTCTCCATACTACTCTGGGCACCGTTTTATTAAAGCCTGGAATCGTCTACAATTTCTATCTCCCCCCTTTCCTTCTTTCCCCTTCACTCTTTCTCTTTGATAAAGTCTTACTTTACAAACTGAGCTTTTTTCCTGGTAATAATGAATCTTCAACTTGAAGCATTTAAATGTATTGAATGTTTATCATGAGCCATATGGGATCCGTCTATAGAAAGGGATTTTCAAGCACATCATAATGCTATAGTATACTTACGGGTGTACGTGTTTTAAACTCCCCTCTATGTAGAAAAACCTAATCTGCTTAATGGAATCCAAGTTATGCTGCTGTGTGGATCAAAGTTAACGATTCAGCCCTTATTTTTTTGCATGCGTATCAGGAATGTGTATCCAAAATTAGTCTTTCACTCTCGTATTATCTTTTTTGTATACTAGTCTAAGTAAACTATTTTAGTGTATCTTTTGAAGAAAAATATTGTATTTTTTTTACTTTTTGGTTCCAAAATTAAAAATTTAAATTTACTAAAACAATGCTCAAAAAGTCACTTTCCTTTTTCTGAACCTTAATTCGCAATGGCAAAATTCGAATTCTAAAATAATCGCAATAATCGCATTCGAAAAGTTTCGAATATTCGAATAATCGCATTCGAATTCGATATTCGTCCATCCCTAGTGGCTACTGCTTTTCGACTAAACAATGAGTTCTTCGTTTGGAACAAGTTGAAGATGCAGCGTTTTTGCTCTGAAAACCACGTTAGCAAGTCAGTTGCCTCGATCGTTGATCTGATGTTTCTGAGTTCGAGTTTCTTAACCCAGCAAAAGTTTTAAAAAGATTCCACCCTAATTTCTATGTCCGATAAAAACGTATACAGCGCCATTATAAACAACGGTATGCCCTATGATTTCTCCATTAGCCACTTTCTACTCACTGAATATATTCTCCTCACATCTGTGATGTGATAGGTACTGGGAAGATAGGTACCTGAATATTCTTCTTTTTTCGGATCTATTCTAGAGATAGAGGGAAATAGAGAGCTTTTATACGAACCGAGGACATTTTATCGTACTGAATGTCATCCCGATTCATTAATATAACTAACCATTATTTCCACGGTTGAATACAGTTTTTTCTCTTTTAATAATGTTCGCTCTTCGTAATTAGAAATGATAAATCATTTCATAGGAAAACTAAAATTAGGGGAGAAATGAAGCAGTATTGAAATGTAGTAACGTAATTTTGTCTGGAAAACGGCAAAGCTTCCGAACGTGCAAAATTCAACCAATAAACATTATCCCATAGGTAACAGACACAACTGAAATATTTACTCATTTAAAGACCTCGCAAAACCTTTCAACCAACTCGCGTGAATACTTGGGATTGACGATTATCGTCACGATTTCAATGGATTTTTTCAATAGAATCTTCTGCGAATCATTAGCCTCAACCCATATGCATACTTGCATACCTTGGAAACAGCATCCAACCATCCATTGGATACCTTGCGTCTGATCATTTAACTAACCTCAATACATTTTGGAGGGATGATTGTCCAAAAAATCAACGATAGCCTTGCCGTACTATCGATTGATTCGATTACAAATTCACATTGATTATCGACGTTGACTCGAATACTTTCAATTAATCGTGCATTCTTAGTGAATAAAATAGATTGTATTCGATACATCAAACAGAGGAGAAGGTATCGATATCGATCGGTTCAATATGTAAACATAGCGTCAAAAGTTAATTAAAAAATCTAAGGTAATGGGTCTTTTGTGATCGAATTTTTATTCTTTCGAGTATCGAATGGCAATAAAAAGTGAAATTGTTAGGAATTTTCTCATTTTCAGCTTTTCCAAATTGAATCTCACAAATTTTTGTTTGAAGTTATGTTCCATTGTTTTGAACCAAACGATGCATAATCGAACCATAGAGTACACAGAGTCGTAATGTAAGTGGGAGAGCTGGCGCCACTTTTAAGCATTTTCCATGTCCCGAATTCCGAGACTCCTGTGTGACGCCGGGTCACTTTTTCGATACATAGGTAATCGATTGTTTGCGATACACGGGTACCCGCCCATCCGATGACAACAACAACAACAACAACAAAGGAGATAGGAATTACTACGTATTCCACACCGCCATTTTGGATCGAAAATGTATCGAAAAAGCGACCCGAACTCGGCGCACACCGGGCTCGGAATTCGTCGAGCAGAATATGGCGCCAGCTCTCCCATTTACATTACGACTCTATATGTACTCTATGAATCGAACCATCATCGGATACGCCGTGACTTACTTGATGACTCTGCACAGAATGGCTGAAGGCGACCTCCATTGACGCAAAAGTCGATGGTGCCCAGCCGCCTGGGGTCGCCGTAGGTCGCCGTTGTGTGGATGACCTGCACTATTTCCGCGTCGCCCGGATCCAGCCGATTTTTCAGGTTGTTCCTGATCAGTGGGCGCGCAGGGTCCAATCCTGTAATACATATGAATGAATGGAATTTAAAAAAGACGACGGTTCCAACGTTAAGACGTTGGAGAGCGTTCACCTTAGCACCTCGTCAATATGTAAAAGTGGTTTTGCGCGGGATGAAGAGAGCGCTGCCTCACTGGAAAACAAAACACATTGGATCTAGAGTCCAGATTCTTGAAAACATTTGCAAGAAAAAGGACTCTTGATTCAATCAGATTTAAGCTTAAATCAAAAGGAAATCCACTCAAATTAAGAGGCTGGGTTCTTGATTTGTGCTTAAATCTGATTGAATCAAGAGCATTTTTTCTTGTCTATGTTTTTAAGAGTCTGGACTCTAGATCCAATGTGTTTTTTTTCCCAGTGCAAGACGCTGTTGAACTAAACGTGGAGCGTAACCTAAGAAACATGCATCTACATGCATAAGAAATGACTTGTCTTCATTGAGTAAAATATAGAGGTCATTAGTGAAGGGGTACTTTGTGCCCGACAATTTTTTTAGATCTTCGACGACTAAAAATTTGAACGATCCTTGAAGGAGTCATTAAATTAAAGTACGTTCAGAGTTTTAAAACGTAAAGATATTAATTTCTCAATAACAACCCTACAGGCATTACATAAAGTGGACAAAATAGGAGAAAAAAGGTAGAAATGGTACAAAAAGGAAATTGAGAAAATAGGTATTGCTTCCCGCCACGAAAAATGGCGCCAAGTGCCATAGAGCAAAGCGGGCCTTTACCAATGGATACATTAGTAACATACCCGATGCAAAACAACGGGAAAGAGCGTATACTACTAACGTGGTGAACGCTCAAAACGAAATATAATGCAGAATGTCACGTTGAGCAATCGGGGAATCCGCCAGTAGTTTTTCCGGAGTCTCAGAAGTAACTCTCGAAAGTTGTCAGAATTGTTTTCTCGCCATCTAAATTTATGATGTATAATCGATTCTATGCGAGGCAACCTACCTCGATAAAATAGATCGTTTTACACGCGCTTGTTACGCCTCGCTGGCACAAGTGCCCCTCTGCAAACGGAGCAAATTGAATCAGTGAGAACAAAAACCCACCAACTCGAAAAAATTAAAGTAATCAAAACACACGCAAAACTGCACAGTAGTTGAAGAACTTAGCAGAAGAAACAGATTTTTGGTGACGAAGGATGAGCACTTAAAGACACTTTAAAGGTCCAATTTGAAACAGATGCGTTAACTTCGATGATCTTTATGAAAACTGACTCTCTTCAATGAAAATTGAGCATTTTTGAGTTACCGAGTTGGTTTGTTTTCGTTCTCACCGATTCAGTTATTTACCACGTCCGCAGGCTGGTTAACCCTGTTCTGCCGTGCTGAGGAAGAACGCCGTACGAACATTCGAGAGTTAACAAATTTTCCTCGATAAGCATAATTTTTGACAGCATTTATGCACAATTTTCTTTGAAATTTTCAGTTATTTTAGATTAATTCGTTCAAAATTGTCTGAAAATTTTGAGGGAAAATATTCACAATTTTTTCAGTGAATTCGGTTTTTATCGGAGGAAACTTGGCAACGTCTGGAAGCTCATACGGCGTTCTTGCTTATGGCAGTGCTGCTCAGTTTACGAACTGGGCAGCTAGCTTGCGGACTGGCCGGTCGAAAGTCTGAAAACTACGCCAACGGGGCCAATCGGCACTTTTAACTGCGATTCATGCGCCAACTGACAAGTCGACGGTGAAACTACCAAACCACGTATCTCGGTTTGCGACGTCGCAGACTTCCTGTCATACTTTACTTTTTAAATGAAAAACTACTTAACATCCAGTCTTGAAAATTTCTGTGATTTTTCCTCTTTGTGCGGAGAAAATTCCGTGAAAATTTCAAGGAATGATATTGATTTGGTCTACTTCAAAAAAATAAAATGTGAGCGTAGATTTTTAAACACCGCAAACGAGATACGTGGTTTGGTAGTTTCACCGTCGAAGTGTCCTCGCTGAACTAATTCTGACAATTTTTTTCCTTAAATCTTTTACGGATCTTATAAGTATCCAAATGAAATTCAATAACATGTATAAAAATTTACAGGCTACGTGAATGAAGTTTAATTTTAATTTATTTGACGACTTTTTAAACATAATTCACAAGTTTTAAGCGTGCCAGTAGGGCTCGCTTTTTAAAATCACTCGGATCCGAGTACAGCACACAGATCAACCAATGCTATTCAACGGGTCGTCCAAGTACTTTTTTCCTCGCACCCGTTTCTTTGTCTTTGAACCATTACCTTGTCAATCCCTGATGGTCTTTTACCAAAAAATCTAATGAACTGCTAATTGGAAACCCTTGAGAACATTTTTCTGTCAAAACCGTATTATTCAATTTGACAGAAACCTCATAGGAGCTTTCTTACGCTCGGAGGACTCAACTCTAGAACCTTCTTTCCCGCCAAAACTCTATAGCCAATGAGCGTCTTGCACTGTAAGTGCAATCTGTGATGAGCCTCGTGACTCATTATACTATGTACTAATCATGGCCCCTGCCGAAATCCACTTAAACCACTACAGTTATCTCGCGATATAGCTTTGGGTGTCCGGTTTCGAGCAAGGCAATAAAAGACGGCGAGGCGATTAACCGATTAACCATTCACCGTGATGCCACAATCCACCAAATTTTCTCAAAAATTGTTTTCCGTCTATTTAGCGAGTTTTTCTTTACTTTCCGTTGAAGTACAAATAAAAAGAGACCTCATTTGTACAAATCGGCCGAATAGGAGAGAAGTTACAGTTCGAAATCCAAAGAGATT